GTCTGAGGTCTACAAAGCTTTTGTTGTAGTTGTGTGAATTTCCACCAAGAGAATGACCTATGAATCAACTATCATCTCAGATGCCTCCCTCCATTGGTGTCTGCCTCTATTAAGCAGGACTGAGGAACCAAAGAGGTCCCTGCCTGCTGTAGCATGATCAGGACCAGCTGCACCCACAGTCAGCTGCCAAGTGAATGCTACTAAAAGGTGCTGTCAGTAATAACAGTAATGACATTGTTGTTTTCAATCTGGCTATATGTTTTATTGGTTGTAACAATATTGAATAAAAGAAAAAACCCCACAGTTTGGCAAAGCTACTTGCTCATCTGAGATACCAAACTGAAGGAATAGAAAAATAGTTATTGACAATGAGGACCAGCTATTTCACATCTCTGTCAGAGGGTCTGGAGGGGTGTTGTCATTGCATGTGGTTATTTACGAGGACTTTAAAAAGGACTCTTCAACAGGTGTTGGGAGAGATGGCTTATTTGGGCAGTTCCTCTAAAGCTATAAACCCACCAGGAGGCACAACTGCTTCATTTGGAAAATCAGGACAGCTGGAGAGGAGGAATATTTAAACTTCAGATCACAGCCACCCAAACACTGTCCCTGGAGGTTTTCAAGATGAGACTGGATGTGGTACTTAGTGCCATGGTCTAGCAACCACAGTAAGGTTGGATCTTTGAGGTCTTTTCCAACCCGATTGATTCTATGATTCTGTGACAGCGACACACTGGCCAATTTGATGCAGAATGCTGCATTTTTGCCACAGGATGTAAGGATGGTGTGTGAGTTCCAGAAATGCCACCGTTCTCTTTCTACACCTGCGTGGGCAGTTTCAGCCAGCCAGCAGGCCCAAGGAGACACATCTCTCAACACTTCATGAGTCATGAGTCACCACTGCTATACACTGGGATGGGCCATAAAATGGAGATTACAAGATAAATAGAAGTACATTCATAAAAACAAATAGCGGATTTCATTCCCAGCATGCATGAGCCTTGGTTATAGTGTCCAAGTCCTACAAAACATCAAGTATAAGGAAGAAATCCTACCAAATACCAAGTATTAGAAAGAAACAATGGTCCCCATCTATCCCCTAAACTACATAGCACATGGATAAGCACCACCTGGTTCTCAGCTGGGCTGTGCTGCTTAAAGGGTATTGTGAAATCTCCATTAGTAAGTCCAAATATGTATTTATAAAACAATCACTGCATAAACCGTCTAATTAAGAGATAAAAAGGAATACTGAATCTCAAAATTCATAATGGCATTTTCCACATGTTTCCATTTCTCATTACCAGAAAACTATTTGTTATTTTCCGTTTGTATATATCTGTGGCTTTACTCTCTGGATGTTAGAGATTTGTTTCCATAACTAGTAAATGACTCTATTTTTTCTTATTTTTTTTTCTTTTAGAAGTGGACCTGGAAATCTTTAAGGTCTTGCAATTTACAGCTCCTTCTAGTCCCAGACTCTAACTTCTGAAAACCTGCCCTAAGATGCCTCTATAACCTTTAACTTGTGTAAAGATAATTTTTTATCCCATACTCCGATTATCTCCATGTAAAATATGCCAGGAGTTACAGCATCAGATTTCATGTTAGGAGACAGTGCATGCGTAAAGAAATATATAAAACCCCACCATATTAAACAGGCAAGGACAGAAGCTAAGGTTCAGCAATGTAGTTTACATGGAAAATGTCAATCAAATGAACTAAACTATGAAGAAAAGGTTCCGGATGATTTATAGGAACACTGCAGCTGCTAAATCCCTCCTCACCTCACCATATGTAATCCTCATGTTACATCAGAATTCATGAAATTCTCCTGTATTTATGTGATTTTGAAAGCTGGGTGAGCTGGAGCTTGTCCCTGGCTTGAAAAGGTTGGATGCGCTGCTTTACAATGCCTTGTCATCTTCTTTTGCAGCCACTTAATATGACTGTATAAGGAAGAACATTTGTGTCTCATGTCTGTGGAAGCTAATCAAATTTACAATCCAGTTCTAGGGAGTTAATGCTATTGGGGATTTGGATGAGCTGAGGTTTGGTCATTACAAAATTTCAGCTGTGTTTAACGCTGGTTAAACTGCTTTATCATTCAGAAGACAGACTATAATTCTTCTTTAAAACTACTTTCTCCCCAAATAAATGAAAATATACTGCTATACTGTATTTTTCTCGGCTTGTATTTTTACAGCTATTTCTATGTCAGCAAATAGCAATTTCAGAGCTGAATTCATCTCCTGGGCTTTTCAATGCTCTTTTAAAAATACAGCAAACATACTCTAGTGAAATAAAAAATGGAGATGGTGTGTTTAACAGCTTGATTTCAATGTGCCTTCTCCATCAGCCACATGATATGCAATGAAATTCCAATTGGTAATGCCAACATGGTTAAAGAGACACACATTTGGACTTAAAATGTACATTATGGGTGTTTGTATGCATTCTATATATTTTTATGAGGATTTATAAAGTAGAATTATATTCCTATTGCAGCATTTTGCA